AAATAAAAAAATTATACAAATATCATTTCTCCACTTAATATGCTTCTTTGTCTTTCTCTCCCCCAAAACCAAACTCCAATTCATTCTCAAATGGCATTTCTCCCTCTGCTTCTCCTCCTCTTCCTCACTTCCTCTGCCGTCCCCTATGCCTCCTCCGCCAACTCCACCCTGACCGCTTACGAAGTTCTCGAGGAATACGACTTCCCCATCGGCCTCCTCCCCAAAGGTGTTTTAGGCTACAAACTCAACAGTTCCACCGGTAAGTTCTCCGTATACTTGAACGGTACCTGTACATTCACGGTTGACTCTTACAAGCTCAAGTACTCATCCACAATCACCGGCGTCATATCCAAGGACAAGCTCAAGAGTTTGAGCGGCATCAAAGTGAAGGTTCTCTTTTTTTGGCTTAGCATTACGGAAGTTATCCGTGACGGCGACGAGCTAGAATTCTCCGTCGGGATTGCTTCCGCCGATTTCCCTGTTTCGAATTTCAGTGAGTGCCCGACTTGCGGATGTGGATTTGATTGTGACAGTGTCAAATCCAATGGCTGGATGGATAAATTCAATCGGCTTGTTTCCACTTTTTAAGTAAGTGTGATTAGTATGTAAATGTTATGTGGATTGAAGAAAGAGATCTTTTATGTTTGGTTTTATTGGGCAACAATCTAAATAAGAGATTTTAAATTTTAGTCGTATGACATGCAGGTGTGATAAAATAAGAGATAGAAAATAATTGTTTTTCATTATGTAACTAAAAAAAATGTTGGTTTTATATATTGCCACCAATTAATCATGATGATATAAGATAATTTCAGCTTAATCCCAGTCTATCATGTGATTTTAATGTCATGTACATGGTATATTTTTCACTAAAGGGAATTTTAGTATTCTAACATTAATATTACGGCAAATAAAGGATAAAGTTAACATATATAATTTTAAAGTTTATTTTCTTATCACAATTATTACTGATAAGTAAACTTTTTTTTTTCCTTATTTTTTTAAATAAAAAACTTTCCTCATACTTTTTAATTATGAGACCCATTCAATATCTTTTTCTTCAATTTTTCAAATATCCATTTCTCGCCGATTATGAAAAAGTTAATCGAGTGAAGTTGGTCTCAAGGTATCTTACTAAAGAAAGTATAAGGGTAAGAAAACTTTGGAACAATTTCTAAAGAAATGTCTCAACAATTAAAATCTTGAGTTTTTATATTAAAAAAATCAAATTCAAATTTCAAGATAAATGAAAAAAGAGATTTGGGAAATAAAAAATTATATTTTATTATATAATCCATCATATAATTTATTAAAAAAAAAGAAAAAAAAAACTTAGGAACCAAAAATCTAAAAAGAAATATCTCAGGCTGGGCAAAACTAGCAATCGTCAAGGGCCTAGGTGGACACACAATTCTTGGGTGAGTGTTTGAGCCCAAGGGTAACATTTCCCCCTTCTCTTTGTAAAATAGGTAAGCTCTATCCTTTCTTAAAAAAAAAATGGTGAAATAAAAGATGAAATTCAATTGACAATTCAATTCAAATGAATTTGCTTTCTATTTTTCTTTATCAAACTTTCTAATTTGAATGTTTAAGTAAAAGCATGCCTAAAACCTAGTGACTCTTCGAAGTTTTTACCAAGATTTCATTGAAGGTTAAATACTAATTTTGGTAACTTAATTTTGAGTTTTTGTATAGTTTTAGTTTTCAATTTTTTATATATATTTTTTAATCCTTAATTATGAAAAATATATTTTTTTAGTTCTTCACTTAGTTAGTCT